TGTGTGTGTGTGTGTGTGTGTGTGTGTGTGTGTGTGTGTGTGTGTGTGTCTCGGAATGGCTGTTCTAGGAATGAGGGTGTTGGGTAGCTTTGTTATTAAGTTCAAAGAGAAGTTTCTAAAGGGAAAATAAAATCCCTGTTTCGCTCAGATATGGCTCATTTTCTGAGGCAATGTCAAGAGGCACAAGATCAAATCTAGCTTGACACTATCCAGTACAGAGCTCAGCAGTCTCTAGAAGCTGGAGCTAAGCTGCAGCTTAGCTAATGAGAAATCTCCATCCTCTGCCAGCACCTCAGGGGCCCATCTCCTCCTCTTTGGCAACCAGAATACAAAGAGAGCTCAAAGCAGAGTTACGACCTAAAAGGTCACCCAGAGCATTCATTTTGCAAGCTCCCTACTGGGCTTTTCCAGAAAACACGAGCTTGGTTTTACAGTTTAGCTAGAATCCATGCCAGTGGCCTTCACGCTTCAACCTGGGGCAGGTTTTAATGAAACCTAAATGATACTTCACACATTGTCCTACCACTGGCAGTGAGGAAGCAGAGGAGGTGGATCAAACACAGCCGGGCTGTATCATCTTGTTTATTCTTTGGGTGTGACAGGAGCAATTGTAAAATTCAGATGAAATTAAAAGTTAAGAGTCAAAGCTCCCAGTGTAAACATTTTGGTCTGTTATTAAGTTTATTTTCACCAGTAATAATCAGAAATGCAATAAAACCATTGTTCTGTGAACATTTGTGCATTCCAGTGGTTCAGCCTATAGAGCCCTCAAGTGGAAGTTTGGGTGTCGCCATTGTGTCTTTTCTAATTTTTAAAATATTTCTTGAGCCTATCCCCTTCTCACCATCTCCACTGCCACTCTCCATGAGTGTTTGGGTTGTCACAACAGCCTGGCATCTTGATCTCCTGGCTCCAGTCTTGCCCGCTTCGGTCCATTCATCATGCTGCCTGAGTCTTCTTTCCAAACTTAAGGGCTGTGGGTCAGTTCACTGCACAGAATCCTTCAGTGACCTTCAGGCCTTTTCTAACAGCCTCACTGCTCACCTTCCTGGTCACATCTTGTCTTAGTTATCTAGTGCTGCTATAACAGAAATACCACAGGTGGATGGCTTTAACAAACAAATTTATTCTCTCACAGTCTAGGAGGCTAGAAGTCCAAATTCAGGGCTCCAGTTCCAGGGGAGCTCTTTCTCTCTTTGTTGGCTCTGGGGAAGGTCCTTGTCATCAGTCTTCCCCTGGGTCTAGGAGTTTCTCAGCACAGGGACCCCAGGTCCAGAGGATGCGCTCCGCTCCTAACTCTTCTTTCTTGGTGGTAGGAGGTCCCTCTCTGTCTCTGCTTGCTTCTTTCTTTTATATCTCAAAAGAGATTGGCTCAAGACACAGCCTCATCCTGTGATTGAATCCTGCCTCATTAACATCATAGAGGGTAAGATGTACAACACATAGGATAATCACATCAGATTACAAAATGGAGGACAACCACACAGTACTGGGAATCGTGGTCTAGCCAACTTGACACACATTTTGGAGGGACACAATTGAATCCATAACACATCTCTTGTACTTGCCTCTCTCCCCATCTTGTTCTCTGACTCAGTGTTACAGCTACTCAGGACTACTTGCAGGTCTTCAAAAATGCAACCTTCTCTCTTGTCTCTGTGTCTGGAATACCTTTTTTGATGGTTACTGTTTGTCTCAACACTGAACTATACCAAGTGTCACCTCTGGGAAGTGTTCCCTAACCTCCCTTGGGTCAGGTACTGTTCACACTCTAAAAGCACATGATGCTTACTTCCCTTCCAGCACCTACACTGTATCCTAACTGGCTGGTTATTGGTCAGCAATGGTCTATCTCTCTGACTAGCCTAAAAAACACTTTAAAAGGTCAAAATCACATATTTCTGTCCATTGTGCCTTGTAGAGAATGCCTGGCACATAGTCACTGATCCATGAATATGTTTGAGAAGGCATGGATGCATTCATTTTTTAATTTAGTTTCTCCCTCCCCCATCTGTGAACATGTGTGTGTGGGTCTTTGTTTTGCCAGATGTGATATGAATAAAGTAATACTCAGCATGCTAAGTTCTCAGGAATATAGTGAGGATGCATAAGATAATGTTAGGATCAGTTAGTAGAAGACTCTTGCCACTCACCTTGCAGTATCATTAAGTAGCTGCCTACTGGGTCTCCGTAGAGTGTCCATGAATTAAAACTCCTGTGTTGTTCTAGGTCAGCTGTTGCCAGCAAACCGCAATACACCGAGTCCCATTGATCCTGACACCATCCAGGTCCCGGTGGGTTATGAGCCAGACCCAGCAGACCTTGCCCTCTCCAGCATCCCTGGCCAGGAAATGTTTGATCCTCGCAAACGCAAGTTCTCTGAGGAAGAACTGAAACCACAGCCCATGATTAAGAAAGCTCGCAAAGTCTTCATCCCCGATGATCTGAAGGTAAATTGGAACTGGTAATCAGGCTATGGGTTAGCAGAAAGTGGGCTCAAGAGGCAAGTTAAAAAGGTGACCCCAGGAAGATCATATAATTTAGTGAATGAAGGATTCATGACTTCTGATCATATTTCTTGCCACGTGATTCTAGGCAAGTTACCTCCTTTCTGGGTGTCTTCTGAAATACTGCCTTTCAAGTTTTGATAATGCACAGGAATAAGGAGAATCAGTAAAATGTTGGAGAGATTTGAAGCCCGTGAAGGAAGGAAACCTGCTACTATCAACCAGGAAACCCATGAAAACCAATAAAACCAAACCAAAATCTTTCAAGGTTAGAAACAGAAGGACAAATATTGGGGAACAGCATCTAGACCTCATAGTCCTCCCACGGTTACCTTCCGTTTGGAAATTTCTGGATAACTAACTGCTGCCATTTCCTATACACCTCAGAGAATTAACAGCCAGAGACACAACCTGTCTCCACATTGCCAACCGTGGATGACCAGGGTGGGATTTTTAAAGGAAGCTAGTGGGTTCTCTGACACTACATATAATATTCATTTTATAAATTATCTCAACAAAAGGTTAATTCCTGGTTGGTTTTCTCTACTATGTTGACAGGACACGTTATTTATAAAGGGAAATAGATTTACCTTAGGAAGTCAAATACAACTTAAAATTAATCTGACACATTTAATGATACCTTAGGAGAAGAGAATTCTGCTTTCCAAAATTATACCAAGTCTAATAGTTCCAAAATAGAACAGCTTTTGCTTAGTCTTTGCTTAGAGATTTTTTGTGTTTTATGCGTCTTTCCAATAATACGGACAACAGAGATATGACTATATCTATATTCAAGGCATTGGAACTAGGCATCATTAGCCGTTTTCTAACTTCTGACGCTATTCTATGAACCTAAATATGATTCACAGATAGAGACAGTCCTGTACTGAGAAAATGGGAGCTTGAGACATTGTGCTGGCACTGATTTAGACTAGTTACTCCTGCTTTTATTATCTAGAAAGAGCACGGGGAGAAAAACCAAAGGCACAGTAGCTTAAGTGCCTGGCAGATTTAAATCATTGCCATTGCCCACATACCTGAGGGGACCCTCCGTGATACACAAGCATAGACTGCCAGGGCTGAGAGAGACCTTGGAGATCCATTAGTCCAAATTTATCATCTTGTACTTGAGGAAATGGAGAAGCGGAAAGGTGAAGTTAGGTAAACATTGCTAGAGAGTCAGGTCTAGCCTGGCCCCCAGGTCTTCTAGCTTCCTGAAAGGCTACATCAGGAGTCCTTAGGTGATAAGTCAATAGCTGCCATCCTGTGAATCATAAAAGTGCATGGTCAAAACACCATAAAACCAGAGGTTCAGCCTGTATGGCCCTCAAATGGAAGTTTGGACATCTCCGTTGTGTCTTTTCTGAGGGAGTTGATAGACTAAGATGGAATAAGAGAGGCACCGCAGGATTGGGTCCTGAGCAATTAAATATCTTCTTTCAATTGAATGCTTTTCCTGGCCTTGTGTTTTTAGCAGTTCAATTCTGTGTGTATTTTAGAGCCTTCTCTTAAACTAAACCAGGGCGTCCATCCAGCATGGATTTCCCCTTGAATGGAGGTTAGTGGTTTGAAAGGATGCTGCTGACTGATAGATATAACTTCCAGCCAGACCTTCAGAGTCTCTACATTTACATGTTCAAAGCAAAGGCAGGATTACTTGGTAATCCAGGTAACCTTGGCAACACAGAGGCCATGTGAAAACCATCCATATTACTGCTGCCAGGGCCAGGTTTGACCTTTTCACATAGTGGGTGGGGAGCAGGCAGGAACATTCTCCTGTCATGTGTCCTTGGGTTTTGTTTTTCGTTTTTTTTCCAGTTATGGATGAAGCCTCAGGCCTCAGACAATAAGCTAGTGGAAAGCAGCAAGCAGAGCCATGCCATATTTCTCCTTCTAGCAGAGAGGACTGAGCTGGGTGGGAGAGGTGTTTGTGGTCCGCAGCATGGGAGGAGCAAACTGGTTGAGTAGAATGGCCCTGGCCAAAACTGGTCTTCCCCACAGCTGCCTGAGCAATTCATTTGGGTTGGCATGCATTTCGTAGGAGAATCAAGGGGTGAGATACAGAGATTCCTAATGGAAAATCTGTTTAATCACCTTGATTTCTTAACAGTTTTAAATGCCCATTTATTAATTTGGCAAATATTGTTCAAGTGCTGTGCCAAGCTCTGCATTAAGGGCTGGGGATACAGGGTGAGCCAGTCCTTGCCCTCATGGAGCTTCCATTCTGGCAAAGAAAAAAGAGTGTCGACCTCTCAGGGGGGTTCTTGCTGGGGAGGCTGCATCAAACATGAGCTCGTTGGGAAGATGATGGAGCAGGGCTGAGTGGGTCATTGCTGGGCAGGGGTAACTGGGCAGCAGATGGTGCCGGGGAGATAGAGAAGGGTACAGGGCACAAAGTGCTTCTCTCCTCCCCTCCAACCATTCTGTGCTGGCAAAGGGAGGCAGGCTGGTTTTTCTAGTCCAGAACGTTCCTTCTGCCCTCACTCCTGCCTGCTCCACCCTCTACCCCTACTCCCAGCTGGCTCTCACCTGAGAAGTTCCCTATTCCGCACCTTTGCCAGTTCACCTGCTTGTGTGGACAGGTGAGGTGAGTGAAAGCACTTTGTGAGCAAAGAGCTCTAAGAGACAGAGAAAGTGGCTCTTGTCCTGAGGTCAGCTGGTGACTGCCTGGCCCTTCAGACCTGGTCAGGACTGTCCTAAACCACTAAGTCCATGGCCTATGGTGGTCCACCCCCTCTCCCCCACACAAACTTCCTGTCATTTCCCAGGGGGTGTTCTCATGGCCACCCTCGCCTCCCAGGCCTCTATTACCCTGTGTGCAGGCTCTGCTTTATCATAAGTCAGCCCCTCTTTCTAGTGCTCTGGGAACTCCCAGAAGCACTCGGGTGTGTGGTAGATTTACTGACAATAAGAAGGGGGTAGAATTAGAGTTTATATCAAAGTGACACAAACAATTTCCATCAGAACTGGAGGCTTCACTGTTGTTAAAATGCCTTTAGGCCCCCTCACCACTATGAAGTCATTGATGGCTCTTCCCAACCTCTCTTCCTCCAGCTGTCTTCTCTCCCCTTCCTCCAACTCTCCTGCTCCCTTGCAGAAGCACAAACAACAAATTTCTCCCTTTGTATTACGCAGACACCGAACATCTCCCCCAACAGCCATTGTACACCTGCCCCAAGCCTACTTATCCAAGTGTTCTCCAAAGCACAGCCTCCTCCCTAAGAATGGTTGGTACCAGCTCTTAGTTATCTAATGCTGCTGTAACAGAAATACCACAAGTGGATGCCTTTCACAAACAGAAATTTATTCTCTCACAGTCTAGGAGGCTAGAAGTCCAAATTCAGGGTGTCAGCTTCAGGGAAAGGCTTTCTCTCCCTGTCACCTCTGGGGGAAGGTCCTTGTCATCAGTCTTCCCCTGGGTCTAGGAGTTTCTCAGCACAGGGACGCCAGGTCCAAAGGACGCGCTTGACTCCTAACTCTTCTTTCTTGGTGGCACGAAGTCCCACCTCTCTGCTTGCTTCTCTCTTTTGTATCTCAAAAGAGATTGACTCAAGATACAACCTAATCCTGTAGACTGAGTCTGCCTCATTAACATAACTCCCTCTAATCCTGCCTCGTTAACATCATAGAGATTGGGATTTACAACACATGGGATAATCACATCAGCTCATGAGATGGTGGACAGCCAAACAATACAGGGACTCATGGCCTAGCCAAGTTGATATGAATTTTGGGGGAACACAGTTCAATCCATAATACTAGATATTATGAAAATACTTCTATCTTGTTATGAAATGTACGAAAAGCTGGGGTGCTATATACATAAAAAGAAAAACCTGTTGCTGTCAAGTTGATTCCAACTCATAGCCACCCTATAGGGCAGAGTAGAACTGCCCCATAGGGTTTCTAAGGAGCAGCTGGTGGATTTGAACTGCCGACTTTTTGATTAGCAGCCAATCTCTTAACCACTCTGCTACCAGGGCTCCCCGTATACATACGATATATGTATATAACAGTACTAGCTTGTGAATGGCATACAGAGCTACCTGTACACGCATTTTGTTTCACACTTTCTTGTCTCTGTGCAGGGCAGTTTTCTCCTGAGGGTAGTGGGCAAGTATTGGGGCAGACCCCAGACCTTGGACCTTCCTTGCAGCCTTGGCCCCAACCCACATGACCTCCTCTAATGCCAACTGCCCCTTGGAGTCCTAGGGGAGTGTAAGAACGGCCTCACCCACTTATTCTGGGTGGCATGTACCTGCAGGTATTAGCCTTGCTGGGATTGAGGGATTTGCTTTTGCAGGTTATTGAAAGAAGGGAGTGGCAACTCAGGCAGCAGCACAATAAATGCACTGGGAAGCTCTAAAAGAAGATTCACATCTCAGTTTTCCTAGGAAGCTCCTCCTTTCTTCAGGCAAGGCGGCAGGCCGGGGTGGGGGAGGGGTGGGGAGCAGCAGTGGGAGAAAGGAGAGATTGGGTTCACGTTGACCACAGTTAAATATTACCCAGGTTAATTAAAGCCTAGAGAAGAGTTCCAGGAAATTAGAGTGAATTATTTAAATGCTATCCACCAGTGAGTGCATTGATTAGTGGCAGGTTGAAGGGTTTTAAAAAAAATGTTCTGCTTTTTAATTACCAAATTGTACATGCCCGTTATATAATCTAATAGTTCAGAAGGCTATAACGTAAAAGGCGAGAAAGAGCCTACCTCTCCTTGGCCTACTTCCTTCTAGAAGCACCACTTTTAATAGCTTGGTATAACTCCTTTTGGGTCTTTTTCTATGAATTTATAATATTACTGTTTTTTTAAATGAAAATGGGAAGAGGTCTTGCATAAAAAACAAAAAAACCAACCCTGTTGCCATCGAGTCGATTCCGACTCATAGCAACCCCATAGGTCTTGCGTAGTTCTCTGCAAATGGCCCTTGTTTCCACTCACAGGGTGGTGTATCATGAACATTTTCCAGTTCAGCTGGGTCATTATTTTTAACAGCTGCAGCGTATTCCTTTGTATGACTGTATCATAATATACTTATTATATCTCCTACTGATGCATAATTAGGTTTTTTCCATTTTCTCTATTACAAGCAATGGTGCAGTAAAAATTTTGCGCCTGTGTCTGTGCACACGTGCATGAATATTTCTATAGGATGAAATCTAGAAGTGGAATTGCTAGATCAATGGGTACATGCATTTAAATTTTTTATATTTCCAAATTAAGGAACCCTGGCGGTGCAACTGGTTAAGCGGTCGGCTGTTAACTGAAAGGCTGGATGGAAGTTGGAACCCGCCTAGTGGCTCTGTGGGAGGAAGACCTGGCCATCTGCTCCCTTGAAGATTATAGCGTAGGAAACCCTATCGGGTAGTTCTACTCTGTCACATGGAGTTACTAGGAGTCCAAAATCAATTTGAGGGCACCTAACAACAGAGACATTTCCAAATTGCCTCCCCAAAATATTATACCAGTTTATACACATACCAAAAAGCATGTGAGTGCATTTGGAAGAAAAGGGTTCTTAAAATTTTAAGCAAGGAGAGTGAAGAAATTTGGTAAGTAATATAGGGTGTGAGGTGAGCCCCTTGCTTTCAGTCAGTCTCTGATCTCTGCCTCGCTGGGCACATACCGCTGCTGTCGTATGGGGCATAAGCAGAGAGAGTCTGAGCCTGTTGTGACAGGTTGGTCCTTGCTCCAGGAAGGAAGCCATGACTCATGGACCATTCTCTCAGGCATCCAGAAACGGTAAAGGAAGGAGACACAAGTAAAGAAACCTGGGCTGGTGCCCCAGCACAACCCTGAAGCCTGCCAGCACCCTGGCTGACACTCAGCTTTTCTGAAATCTAATATCTTCTTTCTTTTTCCTTCTTTAACTAATGAGCAGGATGACAAGTACTGGGCAAGGCGCAGAAAGAATAACATGGCGGCCAAGCGCTCCCGCGATGCCCGGCGGCTGAAGGAGAATCAGATCGCCATCCGCGCCTCGTTCTTGGAGAAGGAGAACTCAGCTCTCCGCCAGGAGGTGGCTGACTTGCGGAAGGAGCTGGGCAAATGCAAGAACATACTTGCGAAGTACGAAGCGAGGCACGGGCCCCTGTAGGATGGCATTTTTGTGGGCTGGCTTTTGAATACATGGACAGTTTGTATCCTGTCTGATAGCACCACACCCAAACCAACCTTTCTGTCATCAGCACTTTACCAGAGGCATAAACACAACTGACTCACATTTTGGTGTGCATCTGTTTGTGTGTGTGTGTGCACGCGCACATGTGCTTGTGTGTGTGGTCAACAGTGAGTGTGCGTGCGCGTGTGTTCCTTTGCACTTGCCATTTTAAGAAGCTCTCTCATCTTTTAGTTCCAAAAAAGAAAGGTGCCATGTTTTTACTGGACTGTGAAGACCTCTCGTGGGTTTTCCTCCCCTCCCTTCTTCTCCACTCCTTCCCTTTCAAAGTTAGCTTCATGCTCCATCTTATGTGCTCTTCCAGGAGCCTCACCTTGGAGTTCTCCAAGAAGGGCCCTGGTAAAATAGTAGATCTCAGTTTGCAAGAGGACACACTCTTGTTTATGTTTAATCTGTAAGTTACCATGCGAATAAGGTGCACAAAATAACTTAGCACTACAGTGCAGCTCTATTAATTTATAGGTTGCTTTCCTCATATTTTCAGTTTTGGTGATAATTGTCTTCAAATTTAAAGTGCTGGTTAGATTTATTAGGTCCCACATTTACTTACTGCTATCTACTAAGTTTCCTTTTAATTCTGCCAACTCCAGATAAGTAAGAGTACTGTTATAGAACACAGAGTGTGTTTTTGCAGTCTGTACCTAAAGCAATAATCCTATTGTACGCTAGAGCATGCTGCCTGAGTATTACTAGTGGACGTAGGATATCTTCCCTACCTAAGAATCTCACTGTCTTTTAAAAAGCAAACCTTAAAAGTAATGCATTTGAGCATGCCCAGAACATCCTCAGGACCGAGAAGCAGAGGAGAATGCAAGGTCTGAGAACGAGGGGTTAATTTACATGAGCCAAAAAAATGTGTTTTGGAACAGCTTTTAACAATTGACGTGTTTGGTTTGGTTTTCTGTCCTCTCCCGTACTTCTCCTCCCCTCGCCACCCCATTTCCACTTGACTTTTTCCATATCCCTCTTGATATTCAGAACAGTTCAGTTACTCAAGATTTGGTTTTCCCCCTTTTTGTAATATATATATTTTTGTGAATTATACCTGCTGTTTTTAAAAATCAGTTAAGTTAATAAGTTGATGTTTTATAAGACCCTTTTTCCTAGTGGTGTCATTTTTGAATGCCTCTTAAATTAATGATTCTGGAGCTTATGTTGCTTATTCTGTGTTTGCTTTGGAACGTATGTGCTTTTATAAAGTGGACTTCTGAAAAATGAATGTAAAAGACACTGGTGTATCTCAGAAGGGGATGGTGTTGTCACAAACTGTGGTTAATCCAATCAATGTAAATGTTTACTATAGACCAAAAGGAAAGATTGTTAAATTGTTTAATGTTTTTACAGAGTAATTATAGGAAGTTCTTTTTTGTACAGTATTTTTCAGATATAAATACTGACAAATGTATTTTGAAAGACATATATTATATATAGCAAAGAGAAAAGGAAAACTATTCCGTGTTTTAAAATTATATAGCAAAGATATATATTCACCAATGTTGTACAGAGAAGAAGTGCTTTGGGGTTTTTGAAGTCTTTAATATTTTAAGCCTATTGCTGACACATCAGCATGTTTTCTGCTTTAAATTAAAATTTTATGACAGTACCAAGGTTTGCCGTGATGAATCCTGCTCCTAAACACATAAGGAGCATTCTTATTTCCTATTTGGTCTCAGAAAGAAGTCGGTTAATGCCACCCAAAAGCACAAAATGGATTTTAGTCAAATATTTATTGGATGATACAGTGTTTTTTTAGGAAAAGCATCTGCCACAAAAATGTTCACTTCAAAATCATGAGTTTCTGGAATGAAGCACTGTTGCAAGTGCCCCGAACACTTCTGTTCTCTGCAGGAGCGTGTATCTTATGCAGTATCAGGTTGGCATCGGTGCTATGTGTATGGTTTATAACTTGATAGATATTATGACTTTCAGGATGATTGCTCTTTTATTTCACTAAGTTGTATAAAGTCAAGATTCTGATGTGACTGCAAAGGAACATTTTGTGCTAGATTAATTAAAATACCCTTTCGTCAATGGGATTTTCCAGTTTCCTGCCTCCAGAGTATCTAATTCTTGTCTCATCTGGTGGTCTCCTTGTGAGTCCATCAGCAGTGGTTCTCATAGTGTCATAGTCTTGGGAAACCAGACTAGTAGGATGTTCCTGCTAGGTATCCATTTTGTCCCAAGTTACAGATTATGGTGGAAGATGGGAGAGTTTTGGAAATGAAATATAATATAAACATTTGAAAAGCTTAAGCAAAACTGAGTAAGAGCTATTCAGTGGAAATAGCGTTGGACTTTTTATAGGTGAAGAGGCTAATTGCAGCAGAATTGTGAAATGGCAATAGTCATTAAGACTAGTCCAGAGAAATCAATCTGTGTGTGTAAATGGAGACACATTAAGTAGAGAAATGTTTTAAGTGTGTTGAGCCTTTAAGTGGAGAAGTGTTGAAGGATTCCTTCGACCTTGGACCATCCAAATTCATCAAAGTATAAAATGGTAACTGGAAAAAAAAAAAAAAAGAAGCCTATATCTGAGCACTGGTCTTTCTTGGCATTAGGTTGTTTGTATCCAGGGATCATTACAAATGTTTTCTGCAGAAGAAATAAAAAGATAATATAAAAGTTATTCTTTTGTGTGCCAGGAAAGGTTTCAGAAACCTACTTCGTCTTAAACACTTTGGAGTCTGTACAGGTGCCTTATATGTAGGTCATTTACACCACACAAACACACATACATGTGAACACGCACTCCTGGACTCACCGCCTGTCTGCCCAGGGCAGCTAACTAGTAAATAAGCCGGTTCTGCTAAACAGAGTGGGAAGCAAGGGCTTGCCTTGGAGTGACATGGATCAGCTAAGGTCAAATGAATGCCTCAGACTGCAGCTATTATGAGTCCTGTTGTCATTTTTCCCCTCTTCATCATAAGCATCTTTCATAGGTTAATTACTTGACCATTAAAAAATGAACACAAATCGTACCATGCCAACATCATTTAGATACACTTTGCAATGAGAGGCGTAGGACTTTCTGGCAAGGTTACATCGCTGTTTCTTTTGACTAAACTTGCAAAGAAAGATAAAGGTTGGTCAGCTTATGGTTCTGCTTGTGCTGCCCTGAGAGGGTAGGTAGGGGATGGGAAGGCTATAAATTATCGCTTCCTCTTGTTGAGGAAGTGGCCACTTTTGACTTTCACATTAGTCAACAGTTAGTCAAGACTGTGATAGGCCTCCAAGAAGGCATGCCTGGAGGCAGAACAAGGAGGAGACTTGCATGCTAACGGTTTCGGTTGGGAAGTTGTACTAGATAACCCGGTTTCTGTTGGGAAGTTGTACTAGATAACCAAGAAGGTTGTTTCTGACTCACTGGTTTTGTGAAGCCGACTCACAAGCATCTAAATGTAAATGTAAAAAGGTCTAGGTTGTGTTTTCAGAATAGTCAAGAAGAGTTTGAAGAGGAGCCCCCCTTCCCTTAGAGTAAAACAACACATTATGTAAGATACAAAGTTATATCTTGGTTTTTACGAGAGTTCATTTAATTTTCCCCAAGTGTTCCTTTTAGGAAAGGCCAAACTTTACCTGAGTTAATTAGAACGATCCGAAGCCAGGCGGGCTTGGCCTGCTTGCCTGTGTGTAGAGAACGGAGACGGGTTTAACACAGGGTCAGCACACTGCAAGGAGCCTTGGTGGCGAAGTGGGTAAGTGCTTGGCTGCTAACCAAAAGAGAGCCCAGCAGCTTGTCAGTCCACAGGAGAAAGATGTGGCAGTCTGCTTCTGGAAAGATTTACAGCTTGGAAACCCTATGGGGCAGTTTTAGTCTGTCCTACAGGCTTTTGGTTTGGTTCAGCATACTGCAGATGGCCCCAGGCTAGGTGTTCAGCCCTCCAGGTAGTAGACACCTTCTGCTCTCAATCTTGTCACCTTCCTGCGGAGGCCTCCTAGGCCCTCTGCTGGGAAGACCAAGGTCTCCTCCAGGTTTTCTCTATAACTAATAATGCCATTAAAAAACATGAGCAAAGTCTCATCCTAGATTTTGATGGATTGGATTTGGCTCCTAAAGTCAGTATGTTTTGCAGGGAGACAAGTGTGTGTAGGTACGTGTGTGTGAATAGTGAATATTTAAGTCAAAACATAAAATCTTTCATTTTGAAACACCTTACCAAACATAGTAATCGACCGTTATCCTTTTGGCAACACCACAAAGATCGCATCTGTTAAACAATACAGGTTAACGTGAGGTCAGTTGAATTGTACACCATGATATTGGTGGTATTACGCTGTTAAGTCTGAACCTTTGTCTGTTATTCTTAATGTTTAATAAACTTTGGATTTTTTTCCTTTCATGTATTTTTGTTACAGTTTGGTAGCAACTGGATTATGTTCCCACTTTAATAACTAAGATATCATTTACAGAGCTTGTTGATTACATGACTGATAAAATGATTATTGTTGTGTGCCATTGAGTCAATTCCAACTCACAGTGACCCTACAGGACAGTGTACAACTGCCCCATAGGGTTTCCTAGGCTGTCATCTTTATAAGAGCAGAATGCTAGGTCTTTTCTCCTGTGGAGCAGCTGGTTGGTTCGAACTGCTGATCTTTCATTGCACCACCAGGGCTCCTCATAAAATGATACTATACATTTAATGATAAATTAACATTTATGGAGTACTTACGATGTGCCACGCAAGACACTGTGCTAATCACTTATACGGACTATCCTAACCCCACATGTACCCTATGAGGTAGGGGTAATCATTATCCCCAGTTTACAGAAGAGAAAATTGAGGGTAAAAGATGTTAAGTAATTCACCTAACACTATAGAAGTAGAAGTGACAGAGATGAATTCTGATCCATTAAATGGGCATCGTTTAGAGCAGTAGTTCCCAAAAGCCAGTACATAGACTCTTTTCTGGCCAAATGTGTAAGAATCACCTGGGAACATATTATAAAGAGAGATTCAGTGATTCTGAATCAGTAGATCTGGGATACCAAAAACCAAACCAAACTCGTTGCCGTCGAGTCAATTCCGACTCATAGTGACCCTATAGGACAGAGTAGAACTGCCTCAGAGTTTCCAAGGAGTGCCTGGTGGATTCAAATTGCCAACCTTTTGCTTAGCAGCCGTAGCACTTAACCACTACGCCACCAGGGTTTCCAGATCTGGGATAGGGCCCAGAAATCTGAATTTTTTTAAAGCTCCCAGCTAACTCGCCTGTGTAGCCAAGGATTTATAGAGGTGGTCCTTAATTTGAGTCCATGGCCCTTGGGAGATCCATGTACAGCCTTCAAAACTTCCATAATTACCTGAAATTGTGTGCAATGTTTTGTTCCTATACATAGATATTCATTTTTCTGTGTAGAAGACCTATAGCTTTTTTTCCCCTAAAGGAATCTGTGATGCAAGATGGAATTAAAAACAGCAACAACTTATAGGAAGGCTGATGTAGGACAGTATATTAGAGACACCTGGGGAGTACAAATGGTTAAGCACTAGACTACTAACCGAGAGGTTGGTTGGTGATTCAAACACACCCAGAGGTGTCTCAGAAGAAAGGCCTGGAGATCTGCTACCAAAAGGTCACAGCCTTGAAAATCCTATGGAGTACAGTTCTACTTTGCACACGCTGGGTTGCCATGAGTCAGAATCAACTCAATGGCAGCTGGTTTGGGGCAGGTCAAAAGATGAGCAGTGCGTGAGCCGCAGCCCCGGCCAATGACCTCAGCACGTCTGGCATGGTGAGACGGGCTCTGTGGTGAGGAACTGCGTGAGTCTGGATTCAAATCCGGTATGTGACCTTGAGCAGCCTGTGAACATTTTTGAGCCTGAATCTCCTTATCTGTGAAATGCAGGTGAAATCCCCACCTCTGAGGGTTGTGGGGAGAACTGAGGACATAACAGATGCATGGTCTGTGGCATAAGTGCCGGGATTTGGGGGTGGGGAGTGGAGTGGAGAAGTGCCTGAGTACTTCTTCCAGATCAATATTGCAGACCATTTGTTCCCTCAAATAGGACAGAATTCTATCCCCCTACTCACAGGAAGCAGGGTGATGAGGTGATGGTTTGGTAATCTGACATCTAACAGATCACAGACTTTCACCCCAGCTTTCTATGCAGGGTCGGTGGCATTTACTTGGCGGCACCTTCCAGTTTAGACTGAGCAGCTACAAGGTAGGGTTCAGCTCTGTTTTCATCAGCAAACATCTTTCTCCTCTTTCAGAAGAATACGTACAGTGACCTTAGCTTAAGGTTCTCATTGGGCAACTGATGTTAGATTTGGTGTCTGCAAATCTGCAAATTTGTTAGAAGAGATGGCTGCTTCTCCATGCCTGGAGAGCCTTTGGACTTCAAGATAACCCAGACTCGCTTCTATGAAGCCAGGCTCTGTGTCTCTGTAGACTCCCAGCTGCACACAAGCCTCAGTCCCGGTGGCCCCATCACATGCTATCTGCGTGGGAGGGCTCTTCCATCTACACTTAAAAAATAATAAACCGCCCAACCATCAAGTCCTATTTATAAAAAAAAAAAAAAAAAAAAAACCTCTTCAAAGCATATGAAATCAATTCCCTCTTTGAAAATCATTAGCTTAGAAGTCTCTTGAGAGCGTCTTTAGCCAGGAACGGTGTGAGAGTCATGGAAATTTTGCCTTTGTGGTCGGAAGATGGCTTCTTGATAATAAATCAAAAGGGCCTTTTGGAGGAGAAAGGCCCAATTGAAGAAGGTGGTGCATGTCCTCCACCTCCCTGGGCTTTGAGTCAATGGAGACTTGGGTCCAGAGCCCCCTGTGTCTGACTTCTTTTCATCCTGTGAAACCTGGCCTGGTGCCTGGAAACAATATGAAGAGCTCACAGTTGCTGAGTCCTCAACTCTTATCTGCCACATCTCATATGATCCTCACACTGTGAAACAGGTATGATTGTTATCCCCATTTTGCAGACAAAGAAAGAGGCTCATGGAAATTAAGTAACTTGAATTTAAACCTAGCCACAAAGCCTGCCTCCAGAGTCTACATTTTAAACCACTCCACACCACAGTTAGCTGTATAAGTTAGGTGCTCAGCAAAGGCAAAGACCAGTCTTATGGTTAGGAGGGTGGGCTCGGAGTTAGGCAAACCTGGACTTGAATCCCAGCTCTATTACTTACCATCTGTGTGACCTTAGAAAATTCACCAGATTGCTCTAAGTTTTATTTGTAAAATGGGGTTGATGATACTCTCCTTATAGGGTTGTTGTTAGAATCAAATGAGAAAATGCATGTAAAGCACTTAGTACAATGCCCAGGGTATAATTGGAATTCAACAAATACTTGCTTTTTTAACAATTACTATTAATAAATATTGCTTGATTTGATTTCTCTAATGAAGGTTACAATAGAGCAGACCATGTATTATATGTTTGTGGACACATTTTTATTCTGCAAATACTTGATCCAAGAGC